AACTGCAGAAATTTCACATAACACTTAAGACAGCTGAAGAGGTTGCAGGAGATGTGGCCTTTTATCTAGCTCAGACACTGTGATTCACTCCCAGGTTTTAGGTCAAGAACACTTCAGGTCTATGACAAATTCAGCTCCAAAAGGAGCTATTTATATGGTATGAGCAAGTGTGTATTCCAGCCAAGACACTGTTGCTGCTCCACAAGGCTGCAGAGGTCTTCAGCAAATCCTATGCCACGTCTGCTTGTCCTGTACTATTGTCTTGAATACCCTGAGACATCTCAAATGATGTTAGGCTTAGGCAACCATAGTATTATTTGGAAAGTATTTGTGTTATGAAATCCATTTATGAAGAATACATTGAAAACCTTGAGAATATATTTCACAGGCTGTAGATGAGAGCATAGCTCACAAGAATGACAGCAAGCTTTTCTAAAACTCAGAGATATTCCATGGCCTTATTGCTGATGTAAATTCAAAGACAAAGTTAAAGGTAAACTTTCTGGCATGCAGTTACAAAATGTTTAAAGTTCTGTTCCCTTTCTGAGATGTTCAATTATTACCATATTTTGTACCTCATTTGAGGTAAAGATTCTCTAAACCATGAATAAAAAATGAATACTGTAAGGTTCTTGATTAGGCTTACAGTCTGAAAATGCATCTGAAAAGATTAGTACATACCACAGTACATGCTTGCCTGTAAAGTCAGTCTGTTAAGCCTCTCTCCAGGAAACAGGAACACAGTTTTGTGTGCAATAGGAGATCACACTGAAAAGCCTGTTGGCTTTCCTTTCAGATTTCTAACTGATTTAACCCCAGCAAAACACAAAAACATTCAAATTCAAAAAGCTTTTCTAATAACTTTATGAAAATGTGTCAATTGTGGTTACAGATCATCAGCATCATGTTTCAAACTCTAACCCCAAAATGGCAGCACCCGTTACAGAGATGAGCACTAATATTATAGCTGAAACTCAAAATATAAAGCAGATTGTTTGTCACTAGCAACAACAATTGGCAACATTTTCTGAAGGTATTGGATAGTTAAATGAGCAATGCAGGAAGCAGAGCAGTGGAGGCAACAGTCTTTCCCAAGGAAGAGGAAGCAGCTTAGTTGCCAGGCTGCACATAAGCAGAGGTTGGGAACGGCATGGGTTACACAGCAGAAGGTAAGCAGGGAATTTCTAAGATTTCATTTCAGGGAAAAATTCTCATTTTATATGCACTGCCAGTCACACTTGCTAGCAGCAGATTATAACTAAAGGAGACTAAAAGCAGACAATGTTTACTATGTCAAATAAATTATCTGCAGTAGTATTATAGTGGTGTATAAAGTAAAAAGCTATGGTATTATGCAAATCCAAACTAAAGCACAATAAACATATTACTTCTGGAATAGAAAAGGCAGCTGAAGGTCTAACTGCCCTGCTAATATACTTCCCTGCTGAGCTTTAGGATCGGTGTAGTTATTTCTGCAATACTCAGGCTATGCACACACAGCAAATTGTATGAAGGCCATTTGGGAACTGTGAAGTGAAAACTCACGTCCAAGGATGTGCGTGGTAGCCAAGGATTGTTATACAAATAGAGGAAATAGCACATTTATGTCAAGGCTGTCAGGCAGCAGTACTAGCCTGAACATGCCATGCTGTGTTACTGCAACAGGCAGCTTTGCTACAGTAGTAAGCCCATATGGAGCCAATTATTAGCAGGATATACATTTGGGTAGCAATAGGAATTCATTCCAAATTAGCCTAGGCACATCAAGCACATATCCTACGAGGAGAATCTGGGAGAGCTAGGATTGTTCAGCCTGGAGAAAAGGAGGGTCAGTGGTGCCCGGTGCCAGGGCAAGAGGCAATGGGCACAAACTGGCACACAGGAGGCCCCCTCTGAACATCAGGATACATTTCCTTACTGTGCTGGTGATGGAGCACTGGCACAGGTTGTCCAGAGAGGTTATGGAGTTTCCTCCCTTGAGATCTTTGAAAGCTGCCTGCACCTGGGCCTGGTCAACCTGTTTTGAGTGGCCCTGCCTGAGCAGAGAGCTGGTCCAGATGGCCTCCAGAGGTCCCTTCCAGCCTCAGCCATTCTGTGATGCTGTGATTCTGTGAATCCAAACAGCTTATCCTAACTGGCAGCAGCACTGATGTAGTTAGGAATGCAAGAACATTCATGTCCAATTCACCCCTACAGAGTTTTAGGTGTCTGTCAAAAGGAATAACACTAATTGTGTCACATCAAATCATTCAAATTCTGCTAAAACTAGGAAAGTATTTACAAACACAAGCAATTGGTCTGCTGTCTGCTTCTAAGTATAGATTGTGTACACTGCAACATTTTCATAAATTATAGAAATGCAGATTATGCCACAGCAAATTAGTTATCAGGTACTATTTATCCTTTCTGACCTATCGAGTGGTCATGCCCCCTGATAAGGCTTTCCTTGGACACAGACAACAGAAAAGAACTCCAGCTACAGTTCTATGAACACTATTCTCCTAGCAAAACTGGATTAAAAACAAAAATAAATATTTTAACCTGGATCAGTGTTATTGGCTTTGTCACCATGAAAAATGTTTTTGGAACTACAGCCTCAGGTTTGTCACTCTAGTTTAAAAGCCCTGACACAGGATTTTCAAACAGTGTTTTCTTCTCTGCCTTGGAAGTGATTTAGTAGTGATGCTCTGCGTTTGATGTACTTGAAGCAAATTTTTGTTCAGATCCTTTGCTTCCCATCTTACTTACCAAGGCTCTCAAATTTCTAAAGAAAGTATCTCAATGAGAGACAGCTTGTTTGCAGAATCGTCTATCCCGGAAATCAACTTAAATTTATAAGGATGAAATGTGAAAGGTTTTGAAAGACAAAGCTTTTTTCTCTGCATCTTCCTACCAGAACAGACTGTAAATGACTACATAAGCTTCCTTACATAAGTACACCAAACCACTCAGTACAACTAACCCACTGGATTGAGGCAGTTGTCCCCTGCACTAATGAGTATGAGGGTATAGGTGAGGTAGGGTATAGCTGATGTTACACTTGCTAGCAAGTTAGCAAGGAGTGTTTTTATGTGTTGTAAGTGCAAATCAAGCTCTTTGCATCTGGATGAAACACACCTGTCTCTGAGAGTCCTTGTGGGGCACTAAGAAATGGAGTAGATTACTATAGAGTAGTTCTTTTTCGGGCACTTCAATTTACAGCAACAAAATAACAGCCACCTTCTGTTTTTTCATATCTCTTGTGGGGATTTCCAGACTATACAGGAGTACATATAAAACAGCACCTTCTTCCCCCAAAACACTGCTCTGACCTACTTTGGAGTAGCTGAACAGCTTCTCTTTTTTGCCTCAGCTTTTCATATGAGTTTCTCATTCAGCTTTCCAGGAATATATGCAGTGAAATAACATGAAATTCTGAGTGTAGAAGTGATAGCACTTGTATCTTGACAAATTCTAGCTTATTTTCTATGCATTAAATAGCTCACTACAGGTTTAACCAGATCAGTTTCTTCATTGTACTCCATTCACCAAGACAAGGTTTTGATGATCTTAGAGGTCTTTTCCAGCCTAAATGATTCTGTGATGCAGAACAGCTGCTGTATTCCAAATCAATGGTGAATCAAGTCCATTCTTTTTAAAGCAAGTCCAGGACTTTGTGAATCAAGGTTCTTACATCAATATCAGTAATATTATGCTTTCAGACATCATACTCTATTCAAAAGTATAATATATATATATATATATACATTGCATTTATCTGATACCAAATCTGCTTTCTTTTGCTCACAGAAACATTGATTCCAGCATTGATTTTACACAGCAAAATGACCATACATGGGTATCTTGAAAGCACGTGCATGTAATAAAGGCAATGTATAGGCAATGTACTCACCATAGTAACTGACAGAAGTGAAACTTTTCATTAAAATATTCAAAGCATGAAACTAAATCAAGATTATATTAGCCTGACTGTACCTGAGACTCATCCCGTAAATGCCATTCTGTGTATTTGAAAGCAGAGTTTGTATTGTATCAATCAGTTCACGTCCATGAATTCACAAATATGAGTTTACCTTTCCAGTTAATGTGGACACAACCTTTAGCCACAAAAACATTCTAATATTCTTTATCTTTGTTCAACAGGAGACAAAATTTTGTTTTGAACAGGATGTGTGCAGGATAAATTCTGTTCCTAAACTGCAATAACAAGAAGCCTTAAAGTAAATCAGACACTGTAGAGCAACTCCACAATACCTTGGAAGAAACCCAAGATTGCTGGTACCTAAATATATTCTCTATGGGTAAAACGAGCTGCCACCCTCAATGTGAACAATGACCGTATTCCCCTGATAACTCTGTGGAATACTCTGTGAAACAAGTTTTCTCTCTGATAAGGAGAAGGATGGAGATTGATTTTCTCTGAATTGTTGCTTATTTAAAATGCAGAAGATGCTGAAATCCTACCTTAAAAAATTACACAGTAAAATTTGATTTTAATGAGGATCTTTGTTTCTAAAACTTTACTTCAGTATTTCTCAATGTCAAGGACATGAAATTATTTTGCACCACAGTGCAGGTATGATACATAAATATAAGATTTAATAATGAAAGGGGATACGCCTAACAATAGAACCTCAACACCTCAAGCATTTTTACTTTGCTTCTTATTGTCACTATTAGTAAAATACATTCCTGTAACAACTGTTCTGATCTAGTCTGAAAACAAACAGAAACCAAAAATTAAAATTGATTTCACTGTGAAATTCAAGGAGACTGCGACAAGTTTCAGAACAATCTGTTTTAAATTTATGAATATTTCAAAGGGCATTTCTACACATGCATTAAAATGTTCTGTGTTTTTCCTGGTGTTCTTCATTTGAGATTCATTTTACTAAAGAACTCATGAGATCATGATTGATCTCTCAGTTTCATCTGTGTTATGTGATGTATGTACCATTACCTTTCACTGTTTCAGGTTTTTGTTGTTGGCTTTTTTTTTCAAAACTTGAAACTTGTGTGATTAGTATTCAAAGATGTGTGGCACTTTCAAATGGAAGTGACACATACAGTAGGTATTTTAACGTTTTAACTACGTCTAGGGCAGATAACTTATATTTAATCTCAACAAGAAAAAAAAAAAGATAAAAAGAACTAATGAGGGTACTTTACAATGTACTACCTGTTTTTTAGTGAGAAGGTCTTCCATGGACAGTAAGACACCCAGTGAGAAATCCCCTGTCTCTACACAATTGTGTAGCCTTTTAAATACATTTTTAAATAACCAGGGTAAGAGTAGGTGTTTATTTATAATTTACCTGACAAGAAGTAGAAATTTGCCATTATTTAGGACTATGCTGACAAAGTTAAACTGCTTTTGTTCCACTAACTAGCCTAGGCTTCTCTACTTTGTACCCCTAACTTTAATGTATGTAACCCTAACTTTAAAATTTCTGTATTAATTTAGATTAATGTAGTTCTCATTCCACATAAAGCCATAAATGTATTGGTTGTTAAAACACTTAATAGCTTTTCCTTGTCTGAATATCCGTATTCATTTCAGAATGGATAAGATTTTCAATAGGTAAATCAATTAAGTTTGATTGAATAGGTAAATCAATTAAGAACGTCTGCAAAGGGAACATCAGTTTCACTACATTAATATGGAAATTAATCAAAGCAATGTGGCCTCAGTAAAACAGATCTAGGAAATAAAATAAAACAAAATAAAACACTACTGATGATGAACATGACAGATACTGATGCCCACAACTAGAGTCATCTCAGACTTTTCATTTCAAGAATATCAAATCAGTTTTTAATAGTTTTAGCAGAATATTTGAACAACCAGGAATTTTTCATCCCAAAGAGCTGGCTCTAGAGGAGGGCAGAAGTTTCCAGTAAAATTGGTCATATGCTTCTGAAAACGAAATATGTTCCTTCAAACATATTAAATCAATCCTAGAAACATTTTGCAGTACAATTTTAATATCTAGCCTGGTATAGGCATCACACAGAGGTGTGACTAGTATTCTCCTTTGTGAAACTCCAAAATAGAAACTATTTATAAAAAAAAAAAAGTCTGATGAGGAGCACTGGAGCATGAAACATGAAGAAGGGAAGAAGTTGGTAAAGATGAAGCCACCTCACGGGCACAGGGAGGAGAGAAAGAAGAGAAAAGATGAAGGGACATAATGAGGTAGGAAAGAGGGCATGGCTGGGGCAGGAACAGAATCAGAGGGAGTAGGGATGTGGATAGAGAGAGTGGGGAACTACCAGCAGGAAAGAATAAGAGGTGAAAAACAAAAAACACTTATGAAAAGGAACAGCATATGGTATATGGGTAGAATCCAGACAGAGGGAAGAAGCTTGATTGTTTGAGGATAATACAGAAAAAGGCTATTTGAGGAAAAGGTTATGCATACCAGGTAGGGATGTTACAGAAAAGGAAGAATACTAATGTGAGACACAAAAGGAATATAAGCTTGGCAAAAAAAAGTATTGTAGAAGGAAGCTACTGCAAAAGGAAAGATGCAGAAAAGACAGGAAAAATAACTGCTGTCCTTCCAGACATGGAAATCAAACCAATTATTGCACAGCCCTGGAACCATTTTGCTGTCCTGAATTTTTATCTCAAAAAAACACTATCGATGTCTGTTTCTCAGTCCTCACCTTGTGTCAGGTCAAAATACAGGCTCAAACTTCAGGCTGGAATACATACTGTTTGGTAAGGCATTCCTCAGCTGCTGCTATCATACAGACGATGAAAAATGCTCTAGGAAAAAATCGGTATTAGAAGGCAGACAGCAAATGAAGAAGGGACGAGCAACAGCAGAGGTCAAAGGAAGCAGGGAAATGGTCACCTCAAGGTCAGGGCAATTTAATGGTACTTTGGAGACCTGCATTCTGTATTTGCTATGGTTCTATGCAGTAAGAGAGTTTGAGACTCAGAACCTTGCACCAATCCATCTCTTTACACCAAGCAGTCAGTTTGGGACCATTTGCAGAAGTGTTGAGCTCTCATAACTGCAACTGAAGGCAAGAGGAACTTGGCTTGGGAAAGAAAAAGTGCTGTAACTGCTAGAACTACAGAGCCTTTTGGTTTCAATATTTGTATGTCCGTTCTATGTAAGATATGGATTACCTGCGTTGGGGTTCTATAGAAAATATGCACATCCATATCCAATAAATGCTTGTGTCATAACATTACTCTCTAGAAATTATTTAGTGGTAACCTTAATTCTGGACATTCTTTCACTTTATTTTTGGATTTCCTAAACTAAGCTTTTCTTCTTTAACTTTCTTTCACAGGAGGATTCTTTTAAAATTTTATCACGTAATTCAGTTAGGTACTGTTAATAACACTATAATGTTATTGTATTATAGAAAAAAAAAATCTTGGGACATCTGCAACAAATTAATATAAGAAAACAAAAGCAATGCCTACAAAAATAATATGATTTCAATGTATCTAAATGTCTACTCTGAATGTAAGCATCTAAGGCATGTCTTCACTAGTCTTTTGCTCTTTTAGAAAAAAATACATTTATGCAATGACTTGAACAAGAGCACCTCCTAGTTTTAGCAGTCCATAATGGGGGAGTGTGAGAACCATGATGGTCAGATGACCACTAGGGCTGGTCATCTAGGAGCTACAAGTGTTGTCACTGCTGTTAAACTTGTACTCGCTGTAACATATTCAGTGTTTTTTTCCAGACAAATTAAAATAAGAATGTAAAACACTAATGTGTCTTACTTCCCATCTTGTACTTAAACCTCCTAATATCTGACACCACACCCTTCACATTTTTCTCATTGTAAAAATTCAGAAAAAAATGATGCCACAATAATCTGGGGCAACCACAATTCCAAGTGAACATTTCAACACCCTGCACACATGCAGTTAAAAGAGTTTACATGACTCAGTGCAATCCCAACTCCATTGAAGTCAGTGGACATAACCAAAATTTCCTCTGAATTAAATAAAATTACACTTTCTGAAATATATAAAAGACTATCTGCTCAAGAATGCTTCTACTGGATTATTTGTCTGAAAATAATTCAGCTTGCGTTGCATATGTAACAGGTGTTCAGCAAATAACCATTGTCATAGACCACAGTTACCATAACTTTAACAAAACTGAACACAGATTACACAACTGAAATTTTTGCTGATTTTCTTCATCCACGATTCAGTAGTCTAAGAATCTAGTGCAAGATAAAGTACTTTTATCTAAAAATATTTATATTACTAATATTATTGATATCTCTTCCAATGTTGGTTGACAATTAAAATATCTGAAACTCTTTACAACAGTTATCGTGCGTTGACCCCGGCCAGCACCTTCCAGACAGAAGAGTCACGTATGCTTTATGCATAAGTAGACAGTGTTACAATGACAAGGAGATGTAGTACACGTTGTTGCATGGGCGGAAATGTCACAGGGCAGTACAAGTGAATCAGTAAAAATAAAAAAAAAGCTCTTGTTTTAATGGGTAATTTATACCAGCAGTTGACTGAGAGCAATTGAGATGAGCATTTGGGCAACGTTTTTTTTTTTTTCTCCTTACTGGTGGAAGCCTGAACCCCAAGAGGCAGAATGGCCTAAGCTTTCTTGTGGTAGGTGGCAGAAAATAAAAGAACTTGCAAATACAGTACAAATACCATTTGTGATTCGTTGCAAATAATTTGGTTTAAATAGAAAATGTAAGGCAAAATCACCTTCATGTCTACAGGTATCCAAATCTGACAAAGTACTTTAAAAGCAGTATCTCAAACTTACCTAGCTCCTTCTGTTACAGAGATTACACTTTCAGGGCAGAGGTTATTCCCGATGCATTAATGACAATTGCAAATTCTAGCTGACACTTACAAAAGAGACAAAAGAGAGGGCTAAAAAAAAAGAACGCTTACAAAGACCACAGCTAGGTACAGTCACATGTGTCCTAACTCCAAGGGACAGAAATCAGCATAGCTCTGGCCATCCAGCTCTGGGACAGGAACAAACTCCCGGGGTCCTGGTGACCGTTTTACTCTTCCAGAGTCACTGTTATGGTAAAAAGACGTGTCACAGGGCACCTGTATTCCCCTCACCACACTTTAGGGCATGAATGATTTAAGTAGTTTAGCCTCCCTAGAGGCCCGTAAGACCGACAAGAATGACAGAAGAGGCTGTACATTAATTTATTTCCTTGAAGTACAAAAAAAAAAGAAAAAAAAAAAGAAAAAAATAATTTATAGTTAAAAGCAGCTGGTAAAACTGTGTTCTGAGAAGACAAGTAACGGTGCTGATGTTGCAAGAATGAGCATAATTTCGGGCATGGACGTAAAAAATAAGAAGTGTAAACATGCTGGCACATCAGTCCAGGACCAGTTTGAAACACATGCTTTTAATCTGCACGGCAACCGCACCTTTCCGCCCAGCCGGAGCCTGCGAAAGTGTCCCGAGAAGCCTCCAATAAATTACATAAATAGGAGCGGGGCCGGGCGGCTCCGTGGCAGTCCCTCCTCAGCCGTCGGGGTAGCCGCAGTAATAGACGGCGCTGCTGGCGTCCGACACGGCGGCGGAGATGGGCCCGGCCGAGAGCCCCTCGGCGGCGTCGTGGCCGGCCAGGGGCAGCCCCAGCTCGGCCTTGCAGGCGAAGCGCAGGTACTGCTCGAACTCGGCGCGGTCCACCTCGCCCAGCAGCTCGTCCTGCGGCAAGTGCTCCAGCGCCTCCCGGCACGGCGCCGCCTCGGGCGGGGGCGACGGCTGCCCCCCCGACGGCAGCGGCAGCACCGGCGGCAGCACCGGGGGCAGCACGGGCGGGGGGCCGCGGCCCGGGCCCGGCGGCTGGCACATCTGCCCGTAGTAGGCGTGCAGCGGCGCCGGGCAGCCCAGCAGCCCCTGCAACGAGCCGGCCGGCCCCAGCGGCTCGCCGGCGGCCAGGTGCCGCCGCAGCGCGGCCCCCGACGGGCTCTCCCCGGCCGCCGCCGCCGGGTACTCGCCGGCCGCCTGCGGGCCGTAGCTGCCGTAGGGCCCCGGGCCGCCCTCCTCCGGCAGCCCCGCCGCGAAGAAGGGCGCCTCGCTGTCCGCCGCGTCCAGCGGCGACGGGTCCGGCGTCGGCAGCCCGTAGCCGTCGAAGGCGGCGCCCAGCGGCGGGCAGTCCCGGTAGTGGCCGCCGCCCGGCCCCGCCGCGTAGCCCTGCTCGCCGTAGGGCAGCCCCAGGCTCTCGGCGCACATCCTGCCGCCGCCGCCGCCCTCGCTGCCCGGCCCGGCCGCCGCCGCAGCCGCCGCCGCCTCCGCCAGGCCGTGCTGCAGGAAGCCGCTCTCCACCCGCTTCAGGCGCTTCACCTGCTTCCGTCGCCGCGGCCGGTACTTGTAGTTGGGGTGGTCCTGCATGTGCTGCACCCGCAGCCGCTCCGCCTCCTCCACGAACGGCCGCTTCTCCGCCAGCGACAGCGCCTTCCACGATTTACCTGCGCCCACACGCACCGTCACACCGGCCGCCCCGACGCCCCTCAGCCCCCCGACCCCCTCAACCCCCTGCCCCGCAGCCCCCGGCCCCCCGCAGACCCCGCAAACCCCCCGGCCCCCCATCTCCCCCCCCACACGCCCACCCGCAGCCCCGCCGGCGCTCACCCAGCATCTTGCTGAGCTCGGCGTTGTGCAGGTCCGGGTTCTGCTGCGCCAGCCGCTTGCGCTCGTCCTTGGCCCACACCATGAAGGCGTTCATGGGCCGCCGGATCCGCGCCTCGCTCTTGCTCCGCCCGCCCGACGGCCCCGACGGCGCCGCCTCGCTCTTCGCCTTCGCCTCGCCCAGCGGGCTCAGCGCCTCTGCCCACGGGCAGGGGCCCACGGCCGGCATCATGATGGGCAGCGAGCACCGCCCCTGCGCCTGGTCCTCGCTGCTGGCGTAGCCCGCATCGGGGCTGCTCATCTCGGGGGCTGCGCCCGGGCCCCGCTCGTCGTCGTCGTTGTCGCCGTCGCCGCCCCCCCGGGGGCCGATGCCGAGAGCTCCGTGCGGGCCGGGGACGGGCTGGCCGCCGGGCCCCGCTCGCTGCTGCCGGCTCCCCGCGCCCGGCCCTATTTGAGCAGCGGCGCGGCCAATGGGGCCGCGGGGGCGGGCGCGCTGCGGGGCGCTGCCGGCGGCTCCCGCTGCGGCGTGGGGCGGCCCCGGGGCTCGCCCGGCACGGCCCGGCTCGGCCCGGCACCTGGGAGGGGGGGGAGGATTGGGGGTGGTGTTTGGGAGAACACCCAGACACGCCTCGGCCCCGCTCCCCCGTTGGGGCAGCAGGAGGCGGCCCTCCGACGGCACGGGGGTGCCCCGCTGGGTGCCCTCCCTGCCCCTTAGTGGCCGGTCGGAAAGGCAGGGCGCTGGCCGGAGCAGGCACGATGGAGGTGGAAGGGACAGATCCTTCCCAAGCACAGCCGCATGTCCCGTAACCCCCGGAGCGCTCCTTTGAGAGGCACGCTTGGGAAGCAGCGCGGTCAGAGGAAGCCAGTCCTACACCCTACACCCTACACCCTACACCTTCCCCTACCGCCTGAGCACTCCTCGCCTCGCAGCGTGAACCCCTCGGGGCACGGCACCCTACTGAACCCACAGCAAACCCGCTAGATATCGCCTACCCCCTTTTTCATACTGTGTAATGGGGTTCTTCAGTATTCCCCCAAAGCGTGCCTTTAGTGCTGAAGTCGCCTTGGTTGCTCCTAAGGAGCACTTTGCAGCACGCACTTTTAGTTGCACTTGGCTTCATATCGTGTGCGTGCAGAATGTCCACGATTCCCCTGCTTTGCCCGAGAAACCAGCTCTAAACACAAGCAGACACTTGCAGTACGCCGGTCACATTAGAATAAACGCAAATTCTATCCGGCTGCCATTTATGATCTTTTTTTTTTTTTTTTGGCATACAATCTAATGTAAAATACGGCGTTTTCACGGGCGCTCTGATTAATATTTGCATTGTTATGTGGCGCCATTAAATGCATCGATGCTTACTTGAGAAACCGCCGGGCTTTAAACTGAAGATCAAAGAGGTTTATTTGGTTAAGGACACCTTTGTTTGGGCAACCGCTTCGATCAAATAAACCAATATTGTCGGGATTCTCGCTGAAATGAAATGAATGAAGCCAGCATCACTGTTAACGAACTCTAACATTGCTTTTCCTCCTAGAAACCTGTTGCTTTACACTTGCCAGCCCAGCAGATATTCCGTAAATTAAAAAAGCAGAGGTGCAGGGGAGCAGGACTGACATTAGGGAGAGTCATTCGCGAGACACTTTGCACCCCATGCTCTCCTCTCCCCCCTGTTTGTTAGAGACTATAAACAAGCGATGTGTTTCCAGATTTAGGATAGCCTGCAGTTATTTATATGCAGATAGACTAAATCATTGCCAAAAGAGGAGCACCTGCCTAAAAGCCAGCAAAAAGAAACTTTTCAGTTTCTTCCCACTCAAGCACACGCGTGAGTCCGGCAATTTAAGCACCTCGTTTGTGTCCTTTTTTTTTTTTTTTCTTCCTTTTTCTTTACATCAGGTGCCGTACAAAGGTGGCGGGGTTGCAAACACCGTTTGTATGCATCATGCCTGTGTACACCGAGGGCATAGTTGTGCACCACAGTGTAGCAATCCATACAGAAGCGTCAACCCTTTAATACGGCTTGTGAAAAAAAGCCCGGGACTGGTGGCACCGGGCAGGAGCTCAGCACCTTTCCAGCCGCAGTCAGCTCAGCACCACTGAGACCCCACCGTAGGCTCAAGGCTGGAGTGCCAGAGGCTTTCTTTCCGTGCCATTCCCGGTCCGACGTGCTGAGGACTCAGGAGCCCTCAGCCCAGGCCAATAGTCCGAGGGAAGCTCGATGTCGATGCAAGGCTGCGACCTGGGGAAAAATCTAAATTAAGCAGAAAATGGAGCTTATCTGAAGCAAAATCACGCACGAGGAGAATGCACAGAGCAGCAGACGCAGCTGAGTGGAGAAAGCGAGACAAGGTCCAAGGAAAACAAAAAGCGAAAAGGCAACAATGCCCTACAACAAAAAAGGCAACAACCCTAACGAAGTCGGTGCGTTCCCAGTGCCTTCCAGATCAGTTCCCAGCTCACTGCCTGGTCCTGACTTGGGCAAAACTGACCACATAGGAGTTTAACGCCTAGAACAAGGTATTAGCGGGTTTTTTTAAATTTATTTTTCCTTTTTTTTTTTTTTTTTTTTTTTTTTTTTTTTTTTTTTAAGAGTTGATCTTGTTAAACTGTTAAACCGTTCTTTTTATTGTATTTTGCAGAAATATTTTCGCAAGCCAAGGGAACAAATCCTGCCAGACCTGGCGCTGATTAAGCAGAGGGCATGCCTGCAAACACACTTCGCAGTAATTTGGGGGCTGTCACTTCCAGCAGAAGAGAAAATGTTTTTTTGCTATATAATGAACATGAGGTAATAAACTAAGCAAACTGCCGCTGACTTTGTTCGGGAGATTTGTGCAAACTGTTTCTACAGCTCATTGATCGAGGATCAAAGAAGGAAAGGTGTGTTTTGAATCGAAGCCGAGAAAGTAAAAGCTCCCTGGTTTGTACGGAAAATGCTGGCAGTCTGTGACCCTTTCGGTGTCATAAATAGATTATCTCACCTCTTTTCTCGCTTTCCGTTTTGACTCTTTAGGTACTTTTGAGCTGTAACTTCAAGCAGAGAGCACTGACCGGGAGCCGAGCTCGGCTCCTTACACCTCACTTCCCCGGGGCGTTTCGCAAAGCGCTGCTCCCGGCGCTCCCGAAACCTTCACGGTCGCACGAATCCCGGGGTCATTCGTTAACTTTCCCAACCCAACAATGCCGCCGGGAGTTCATCCTTCTGATTTATTGACCTTTTAAACCCGCCGGGACGCGGCGCGGGGATCCTCCGGCGAGCGATGTGTTTCTATTTCAGAGCGCGGGGTTGGAAGTGGTGCTCCCAGCGTTATCAGAGCCGACCACAAATGCCACATGAAAAGCAGCAAACATCCGGAGGGTTTCCTGCAAACCGAGCAGTTTCTCAAGACAAGAGCCTTTTTTTTTTTTTTTTTTTTTTTTTTTTTTTTTTAACTCGTGTTTAAAGGCAGCACGCTTCGCCTCTTTTAAGCGGTTCAGATCCATTAAATGTAAGCCGCCTCTCCGACGGCACTGCACGGGGCAAGAAATCGCCCCGAATTAAGACTTTTAAGGACGTTGAGTTAGGAAAGTGCTTGGATCTCAAGAGCCCCTAGCCAGAGATGACGCCCCATATATGCGAAGAAATCAAAACCCCCAAAACGAAAAAAAAACCTCTCCCCTCTCCGCCTTCCCCCCACTGGCAGCGATCGAGATGCAGGCTGCTCACCCGCATATCAACTCATTTTATTTAAGGATTAAGGTGATCACGAAGATCGTCACGATCTTTGGTTTTCTCCCCGTGAGGTTAGGGAGCAGCCGCTGGACTGCACCGGGAGGGGCCGGCACCGTCTCGGATCTGGAGCCCTTGGGTTGGAGGCTGAGCTGTGCAGGGCCAAAAAGCGGTGCAACACCTGGGGCCGGGCAGATACCCCGTGCCTGAATTTCCAAGAACAGAAATCCTGTTAGTTTTTATGCTTCAGTACACGCCAGCGATAAGATTTAAAAAAAAAAAAAAAAAAAAAAAAAAAAGCGCTTGATACAATGCTGGAGCTGCTCCAAAAGATCAAGCATCTGAACTAAGCTAAACAAGTTAAACAGTTAGAGCTAGCCTATTTGTATTTATGCTGGTTTTATGTCAGTGGAGTTAACACAGGCTTGTAGCAGCACAAGATTTATTGTGACAAGCTAGATGCTCAAGTCGCGGCTTAGCAGAGGACAATTCATGTAACCGTACAATCAAAAAGCTGATCCCAACTACATTGGAGTGAAATGAATTTCCTCTTTGCCATCACCCAGCTCCCATCTGCTTACAATGGCCAGAAAGAAAGAAAGTAATAAAATATGCTCTAGAAGGTGGGATACGTTGCTATGTGTTAGGAAGGTAGATGTTAGCTTTATAGTGTACATGTATGTTTATATTTTGCATTCTTTCATAGCAATATTTCACAGTGTTTCACACGTGAAAAGTTCTCTGCCTTTAACCAAAAGAAAATTGCTGCATTATACAAACGAGAAAGTTGATGGGGCTAGAGCTGGGCAGGTAACATGCTGTCATGCCAGCTACCTCTCATCACAGCAGAGGTGATCTAGGATTTCAGCATATATAAATAATCCTTCTGCTGGCAGTTTAGCAGAAATACATAAATGCTACTACTAGAAGTATTCCATGACAATGACACTTAAAATCTCAACAGCTTGCCTTCTGCAGTTCTGATCAATCAGCAGTAATGAACGAGATCAGAAAGAATTTAAGAACGTCTTTAAACCTTAACACTACAGCTGAATAAAACTATATAAATTAGACTGACAACGTAATACATTTATTTTTCAAAAGAACCAAACAATCAAGCAAACAAACAAAAAAAAAACCCTCGCTTTTCTTTCCTTTGCTGAAATTGGAAGTATTGGTAATGTTAAAAATATCTTTTTTATGATCAAAAAGGGCATTTTTTATAACCAAGGCATCTGAGTATAAAATTTGATGTTGTTTTTGCAAATCAAGATATCAATTTGTTTAAGATTGTAGTCTTAAAATTTGCCCAGTGAAAATGCTCCAGATTTTCATTTTTTTTCTTTGTAATTATATTCACTAATTAAGCACACTACAGTTCCTCTGTTCCTGACATCTGATGTTTAGTTAGATAATTGAACTATGAAAAGAAAACAAATCTGGCAAACAGAAGGTATGGGTTATTGGTAGTTGTGAGTATTCAGATTTGTGATGTTTCTTGATGGATATTAATAGAGAAAGTGAATTTTATTTTTAGCCTATTGGTTAACATTCCACTAGCAGTTTCTTTGAAGCATCGCAGAAAGCTGCAGACTATCAGAAATACAAATCAGTCTATCTGATCAGGTTTTTAAGGATTACTATTTACCAAGCATGAAGCAGTGCCAGTAGCAGTCATCTGCTTGTTTTACAGGGCACAGACAAGTTACCCTGCCCAGGGTGCGTT